CAGCAAATGTTCTGGTTCTGCATCTGTTATGTCCAGAGGATGCTGGACTAGAGAGGTTCAACCTGTATATATCTGTACTGTGCCTAGTATATTGGGAATAGTGATAGAAATGTAGCCGTGTTAGTCTGGGGTAGTTGAAGCAAAATGCAGGACAATGTAGCACTTTAAAGACTAACAAGATGGTTTATTAGATGATGAGCTTTCGTGGGCCAGACCCACTTCCTCAGATCAAATAGTGGAAGAAAGTAGTCACAACCATATATACCAAAGGATACAATTAAAAAAAAGAACAAATATGAAAAGGACAAATCACATTGCAGAACAGAAGGAGGAGGCGGGGGGGTGGGAAGGGGGAGGAAGGAAGGTAAGTGTCTGTGAATTGATGATATTAGAGGTAGGGTGGGGCTATCGGTATAACTATACAAATCAATACAAATAAATATTAGGCATGGGGAACCATTTGAAGCATTTTACCTTACTGGATTGTTCCACCCTTCAAGTTTTGAAGGGAAGTACCTATGGCATCATCAAGACTAAACAGAGTACAAAATAATCAATAGCTGAACTTCACATTTTACTCTAAATGAAACTAAACTTAATCAAGAACAAAAATACCCATAATAAGTTGTGTGATTGGGAGAATGCAGCTGGGGAGGTTTAAATCAGATGCTCCTGCTTTTCAGAGAAACTGAAGAACAGGGTAGGGTTGTGGTTCCTGAGATCCAAACTCAGACCTTTGTTTAAATACCTCAAATAAGCATGAGACTTCAAGGGACAGCCCATGAGAGTCAAGTTCTTTCTTTTCAGAACTTCTGCAGGGAGCTGCTAAAATTGTGAATGCAAGACACAGGGGATATTGATATCAAGATCAGTACTATATAATGGTGGTGTAATAAAGAGTTTTTATCACAGCTGATTTATTGGTTGAGTAAATTTGTTCCTGGTTAAATATTTGATTATTAAGTGTTACTGGCTATATTATGCTTTTAAGATTTACTCATCTCAAAATAAACACACATTCAAAAAGTGTTGGGATGAGGATGGGTTCCTTCCTTAGATACCCCATCCTCTATTTTGCAGCAAAGGAAAGCCAGCACTGAAGCAGTGGTGTCACCTTATGCTCCCAACAGTCACAGGAGGGGCCTATAGCTGGCAGAGTACATTTTCACATACACACAATTGCAACTGAAACCCCAAAGACACAATTTAGCCCTTTTGTATAATTTGTATTTAAGTGAGGAATAAAGAGTTGGAAATCATAGAACTGTAGCTAGAAAGGCCAGAAAAGAACTCCTAGGTCATTCAGTATGACCCCTACAATTTTCAAGACTCTGCACTACATTATTCCCACCAACATCTAATCTCATGTATTCTTGAATTTCCACAGTGATGGTGCCTTGATATTATCCCCTGGGAGTCAACTCCATTGCCAGATTATTCTGTTGAATGTTCCTCTATCTAGCCTAAATATTTCTCTGCTTCAAGTCACTGCTCCTTGCCCTATTAGTGTCACTAATTTTCTGCTTCCATTACTATTGTTACCCGTAAATCTGCATTTCTCAAACTGTGGGTCCGGATCTCCTGGGGCAACATAGAGGGGGGGTTGCAGCAATTTAGAGGGGGTTGTGAGCAACTTAGAGGGGGGTCACGGTATCACAAAGTTTGAGAACCCCTGCCGTAAGGTATTTGTAAACTATAGATAATGCTCTCAGATTATCTTTTCTGTAGGTTTTATCTTTAAAGCCTTATATCATATTTGTTGCCTTTCTTTGTATAATCTCTAGCTTTTTGAAACATTCCCTGAACTATGAGGACCAGAACACCTCACCACTTTTATACTAGTATATGGCCTACAAAACCTGATGAAAAATTATTTTGTTTAAAGGTGATTTAGCACCCTCTGGTGTACCATTGCTCAATTACATATTTCATTTTAGATAAAGCAGAGTGAAGTCTCCAAAGCAACAACTTTTTTGTGCTAATGCTTGTGAAGCAATAGTTACGAATGGTTCAGCAATTATATTATTTATGTTTGTATTCGGGAACTTGTGGCTCATTGGAAAACCGCTTATGACTAAATGTAATGTGGCTAAATTCTGCATTCATTTACATGAATGGAAATGTCCATTGATTCCCATAGGAGATGCTTAAATATAAGCACAATGTTTGGACTACTGTGTACAGTGTATTACAGAGTCTCAGAGAGGTAGCCATGTTTGTCTTTGTATTACAGAGAACACTTTCTTTTTTTTCTCTTTTTTAAGAAATGCTCTTTTAAATATTTTAATTATTTTTGTGTTGTACAATACTAAAAAAACAGAAACAAAAATGGCAACATGAACGTATCAAATTTAAGATACACAATTTTCATTAAAAAAATATTTTTGCAAGAAATTGCTCTATATTGTAAATTAGATCCACTATGCCACTACTGTTGTTTTGAATTTCAAATGACCTAGTTATAAACTCTAAAATAATTTATTTGCACAGTTGAAATTCTCATCAATCTCATCAATACACAGGCACTTATTAATATTTTCCAAAATTTGCAGCCTCTGTTCCAAAGCCGTTTATTAATTTTGAATCAAACTGTATTTCCCTTTCCTCTCCCTCTAAACTTTTTACTACTGCTATAGGTTTCAGGATTGGATTGCAACCATCAAGTGAAATAGTTAATAGCTTTTGACCAACTTACATTTTTGAGCAATTTGCAGTAGATCCATAAGTAATACGAGCACCCCTTTCTATTCCCAAAACCTTATCAACCTCAATAAAAACAATCCCCAAACTTTACTTTAACCAATATTCTGACTTTGGAAAGACATGTGCCAGGGACTCCATAAAGTCCAACAGGGACTTAGTTATTGCTGTTGATATTATGTGGAAGGCACCCAGATATATCAATAGTTGGCAGCAGTATAAAACCCTCAGATAGAAACTCCCCTAGTAAGAGGCCCCAGGCATATTTTCCCCTCTTAAAGCACTTTGAAAATATTCTAGGCTTGCCACTTGGTGCAATATAGTACAGTTCATTAAGCTAATTACTCTTCAGAAGTATTACTCACATCAAGAGATAAATTCAAACTGTGTGGGTGAGTGTTCCAAGTGCTGCCTGGGGAAAGGAGCAAGGGAATAGAGGATTTCAGGCTGCCTCCTGCAGTCTGTGTATGTGTTGGGAAAAGGAACTCAACACCAAAGGTTTGCTGCTGCCTGAAGGGAAGAGGAGGATCACAGGCCTTCCTCACTACATGCTGCTTTTCACCAAGCAGGTCTAAGTGGGGGCTTAAGAACTCCTCTGAAGAAGGATTCACTAAAGGAAATGAATAAGGTTCTAGTATTTCCATCCAAAAGAAAGCATAGATGGTGAGGACAACTTGAGGCACAGTTTAGTTTACTTTTATAATGAAATATGATTGTATTATGTAAATATGGTACCTTCCCACTCACACGATCTGTTTCATGTATTCAGAGTCACACCTACTTTTAATTACTGTCAGCTCTGCAGAATCAACAGCTTCAAGAGTGAACAGGATTCTTTCCCTGTGTGTTCAACACCAAAAACACTGCCAAGTAAATTCTATTGGAAGAGCCAACTGTGCGATATCACCAAGTTCCATTCTGCCTTTAGTTACACTTGTCCAGTTCCACAGAAAGTATAGTAATAAAGTTCAGCCATTACAGCAAAGGGCAGCATTTGGCTTTCAGAAGCCAGAAAGAGCACAGCTTGACTTTCAGATTCCAGGATGAGTTTGAAGTGAGAAGAAATGGCAGTTCAGAAAAACATCTTTTACTTATAATTTGAACTACTCTGATATGGAAATCATTGATACATGATTAAGTATGGAAGCTTACATTGCCATTTTTATAACTTCACCTGTAAGAGCTAGTGTAAGCAGAGTGAAAGTATTTAAATTATTTTTCATTGCAATCCTTCGTTTTATGTTAATGTCTTTCTGAATCATTTATGTTGGTGTTAAAATTCTGCCTGAAGGTAAATTATTTGATAATCTTTTCTGCTGTTTGATTTAGAGGAAAATGGGAACAAAGTTTCCTACTGTAAAAAATATATAGAAATATTAACCATGTATTTCTTTACATGTCTGCAAAAAAAATCTCAAATGAGTAGCTAGAAACTTATGGACTCAATGAAGACTTTGCTTGGTTTGAAGATTTTTTTTTAAATTTTATCAGATATGAGCATTTGAAAAATGTGTATTGAATAGAAATGGGCTGACTCAGATGTGCCTGGAATCAGATGCTCTCAAAGTTAGAATTGAGATTTTTATTCAAACCAGGATAGCAGTTTGGATCCAAATTCAGACCGAGCATCTGAACCAAATGGTTGAAATCTCAAAAGAACAGCACTTATCACAAGACCTCTATCACCCAGGCATTGTGCTGGTCTCCAAAGCCACCATTCATTACTGTGTTCTATCAGGGAAGCAGGCAAACCTCCAATCTTTCTGTGGGAATCCCAGATGGTCTTGCTTCTCTTGATGTCTGGGAAGTGGGAAGTGCCAACCAAATCTAATGGTGGATTTTGTGGAGTGTTGGATTGCTACTTCATCATGTCCCGGCAGTCCTGCCAGAATTTAAAATCCCAGAAACGTGTGCATTTCTCTAGTGTAAGTCCACAGTGGAACAGGAATCATGATCTGGTGTCCTAGATACAAATACTAACAAAGACAAAGATGTTAGGATCTGGAGTTTTGATCTGGTCCCATCTCTAATACTGAGCATACACACAACAGTGTACATGTGCACAACCATTTAAACAAATATGCACTTTGTAGCTACTCATATACATTGCTAGTTTGGAGAGTCAGCAAATTTGAGCTCTCACCAACAGCTGAGTATTTGAAAAAAGTGCTTATTGAATCTGATGTCATATTTAGTCTTGATGCCTGGTTACAAAAACTTGAAAATGTATGCAATAAATTTTGGTCAAAGATTTTAAGAACAGTAATTTTTTCCATTTAAAAGAACTGTGAATGTTAATTAGCAATTTTATTTTAAAAGTGCTTTCACCAAGGTGACCAGTTCATTATTTTATTCCAGTATTACATTTTATAGAAATTACACATACTCTGATGTATACAAGCTAGTGGAGAGTTTCTCCAGATGCTTATTTAATTCAGATTGCTTATCTTTCTACTGAATGTCCTCCAAGATTAGTAGACCCTATAAGAAGGAAGATTTAAAAATACAGATATAAATATTTTTACATAAAGCCAAAGAATCACTCTATCAATTGTTTATGTGCTCTTGGAAATCTATTTTGTTAAGAAAAATTAAAAATAAAAACCAAAAATGAAAAATTATCATACATATTAACATAAAAACAAACATAAAGGAACACATGGTATGGATTTTGGCCAAGCTATTTCTATGAATGCAAATATAGTATGATTTTACAGTAAACAGTGGCTTTATGTATGTGAATAGGACTGCGCCTCATACTTGGAGTTAGGATTCCAATTTTTAAACAGTGATTCCCAACCTTTTTTTGCATACGGACCCCTTTACAATCTATTAAAATTTCATAGACCTCCCTCCCTGGAGGAGAAAATAAAAAAGAGAAAAGGAAAAGAAAAAGAAAAAGAAAAGAAAGGTGGGACCAATCCTTATTTTTAACTTTCCACGGACCTCCTAAAATACCGCTGTGGACCACCAGAGGTATGCAGGCCACAGGTTGGGAACCACTGCTTTAAAAGATGGTAGGGCAAGACTCTGATCTCAGGTGTAAATCGAGGATAACCCTACTATGCTACATTTAAATTATTTGCTTTACATCAGAAATTCAGCTCTTAAGAGTAAGATTCTTAGATTACTAGATTTAAGCTTTTCTATATTTTTATTATAATAGTATCGTACAAATTAAAATAAAAGATATATTTTAATTACTGTAACTATTGTATGGAAAGTTTCACAATATTATATTAATGGAGATTGCCTTTCTCCTAGAACTGGAAGGGACCTTGAAAGGTCATTGAGTCCAGTCCCCTGCCTTCTCAGCAGGACCAAGTACCATCCCTGACAAACTTTTGCCCCCAAATCACTAAATGGCCTCCACAAGGATTGAACTATGTTGATAGTATACCTTACATTTTCCAAAATTATATCCTGTGTATTGCATAATCAATAATTTATATTGTACCGTGAAGACTTTTCAAGGCAAATAATTTAATTTTGATAATTCAAAAAATTTACTTGCCTACATGTTGCCTCTGTAGAAGACTGGAGATGGTGATTGGCTGTCTGGTTACAGATGACTGTGAGGAAGGTGTTGTACATGCATACAACTGAGGAGTTCTGAAACCAGAAGTATCCCATGTGCCTGTTCTACTACTTTGTGATCCAGATGATGAAGTGAACGAATATCCGGTATGTGGCATTCTTAATGGTGTTGACCTTTTTGTATTTCAATTGTTAAAGAAATTATCAAAGTTAATATTTTAAAGGAGAAATATAGTATCAGTTACGACATACTACACATGTATTATTTATCATATTAGATTATTAGATAGCATTTTTCAAACAACTGAAAAGAGGCAAGAAAGAAAGTGATGAAACAGGAAAAAGGACATTTTAATATTTCAATTATGTATTTAATATCAATCTGACAATTTATAATATTGTGAAATTAATAGACAGCAGGTTTAAAATAAATGTAAGGATTTGTTTCCTCACCCAATGGACCTCCAAAAGTATAACTGGGTTAAAAAATAGACAAATTCATGGAGGACAGGTCCATCAATGGCTATTAGCCAAGATATGCAGTGATGCAACCTCATGCTCTGAGTGTCCTCCAAGCATCTGACTGCCAGAAGCTAGACTAGATGACAGGTAACAAATAACTTGAGACCTGTTCCAAATCATTTTATATCTGATACCCTGTTTTGTTCATTCCCTCTGCAGTACATGGCACCAGCCACTATCAGAAGAGAAGATGTTGGACTAGATGGACCATTCCTCTGACTTAGTATGGCCATTTTTCTGTTCTTATAATTCATAATTGTTGATGTCATGCATTTACATTGTCTGGAACCATTGTCCTGTGATTTCCATAATTCATGTAAGTTAAAAAGTGAAGATTGTCAATACTTTGAAAGAAACTTCTAAGTGAGATGTAGGTGCATCAGAAAATGGTTCAGTGATTCGATGTAGGTAACTCTTTTCTCTCTGAGTACGACTAGACTACGTTTTTCTTTTGAAAGAAGATATGCAAATTCCATGGTAATTTGCATATCTTCTTCCAATCTGTAGCCAGACACGAACCCCCATTTAACATCCATCTTTGTCTGCTTGAAACCATGCAGGGCACATAAGAGCAGGAAAACAGCATATTCTTTGAAAACCTTGGAGCAAGAGGTTTAGATATGCTGGCTCAGTGACCATGACCAACTGTAAGCAGAGATAGGAGGGTGGTCAAAATAATTGTTGACCAAGAGGCTGTACATCGTGCCCTGGACTTAACCCATATTGATACGAACACACAGCCGTCCGTGGGGGGAGGAATCTCCCGCCCAGCAAAGAATATCCGTCAGTCCTAATTTAGCTATCTTCCTTTCTTACAAGTGTAAATTATTTTGAAACTTGCTTTTAAGAACTGGCGCCACAAAACGGACCAGTAAAATTTGGCCTCTTAAGATAAGAAAGAGAATACGGACCCCCAGGGGTATAAAGATGAGTCCAGCAGCACACTGACTTTGTATGTCAATCTACCACCTATCTGCTGGTCGGGTTTGGTGTTTGACCTCCTGAGGTTCCAGAGGGGACGCCCACCTCGTATTCGTCTTTCCGATGAATTGAGGGACCGACCCTGGCCTGACACGCTGGAGTCGAGAGGCACAGAAGGGGGTAAAAATTGTACCTGGATGTGGTCCTTTGTTTAAGTATATATATACATAGTGTTAGAGCTCTTTAAAGATTAAGCTGTCATTTGGTACCATTATTTCTATTTTCTATCTTTACCTTTTTCCTGTAACCACTTTTTAAGATCTATATTTATATTTGCTAGCATTTAAGAAATAGAGCAATAGCCATTGTAACCATATGATTTATAAGTTCCTTTAATAAACCTGTAACTGTTTAAGCTTTGACCTGACTCCTTCAGTTGCTGTAATAGAACCAAGCACAATTTAAAAGAACTTCAGCCAGTCATTAAGGGACAGTTATAGGAAGAGCTTGGGCGTTTGGATCTGTGTCACTCCCAGGTGACAGGGTCCACTGGGGCACCTTTCAGCCTTTCCTGGGCTGCCCTCTGCAAAGGAACCCTGTGTTCTAGCAGCTAAAATCTTAGGTGTAATAAGCTCTTCCTACAAACTGGGGCATCTGTTGGTCTGCTGGCCACCCTCTGCGACGGGACCCCGGTCCTAGCAGTAAAGACATGGACGTTAAATTCTCGGGGCTCCTTTCAGTCTTCTGGCTGCCCGCTGCAACGAGACTTCGTGTCTTAGTAGTTAAAGACTTAGGAGACACACACACACACACTGCTCTGACCGTCAGCTGACACAATCGCTTTGTCAAAAGAGTTTTTTTCGAAAAAGCAAGCAGTTTAGGTGCAGTTCTTTCGAAAAAAACCCCCTTTTTTTTGAAAGAACCTTCTTCCTTAAAAAAAGAACCATGTCTAAACTCTCTCCAAAAAAAAAAACCTCTTTCGAAAAAGTGCTCAGAAGAAGATAAGCAAATTACCACTGAATTTGCATATTTTCTTTCAAAAGAAAAATGTAGTCTAGACGTACACTCTGAGTTATAGAAACATAGGGCTGGAAGAGACTTCAGGAGGTCATCGAGTCTAGCCCCCTGCCCAAAGCAGGACCAATCGCAACTAAATCTACCTAGCCAGGCTTTGTCAAGCCGAGACTTAAAAACCTCTAGGGATGGAGATTCCACCACCTCCCTAGGTAACCCATTCCAATACTTCACCACCCTCCTAGTGAAAGAGTTTTCCCTAATATCCAACCTAGACCTTCCCCACTTCCCCACTGTAACTTGAGACCATTGCTCCTTGTTCTGCCATCTGTCACTACTGAGAACAGCTTCTCTACATACTTTTTGGAACCTCTGTTCAGGAAGTTGAAGGCTGCTATCAATTCCCCCCTCACTCTTCCCTTCTGTAGAGTAAATAAGCCCAAATCCTTCAGCCTCTCCTCATAGGTCATGTGCTCCAGCCCCCTAATCATTTTGGTTGCTCTCCGCTGAACCCTCTCCAATGTGTCCACATCCTTTCTGTAGTGCACAATATCTTTTCTTCTTTGGAAATGCAAAATACACAATACGGCCTTTATGGTACACAGATTTATGATGAGAGGCAAGAATTATTTTCCTTCACTTTACAAAAGCTGTCACATCTTATAAAAGCATGAGCTATATCCAGTTACCTTAGAGATCCTGCTATGCTATTCTGACTTGCTGTTAATCTTGATGATTGACAACCTTTATAAGAAATACTACCTATAATGAATAATAGGTTTTAAAACAATATTAAAAATTAAGTACAGCCTTTATTGAAGATATAGTTTTAGGAGACAAAAGTAAGACTTTGATTATACACTTTGGGCTAAATTCACCACAGGTTTATGCCAGCATGAATAATGGTGGAGAGACCTGATGACAAAAAGAGAAGGACAGAGTAGGCAGTTTGTGACTACAAAAAATGACCATCATTAATATGTGAGAGTATGTCTACACTACAGCACTAATTCAAACTAACTTAATTCGAATTAGTTTATTCGAACTAAGCTAATTCGAATTAGCACATCTAGACTTAAAAACTAATTCGAATTAACGTTTTGCTAATTCGAACTAGAGCGTCCACACTGATTGGACGCTGGGTCGCATTTAAGGGCAGCTGAAACCGGTTCCGGCAGGGCATGAGGTCAGTAGTTGCTTTGCGTGGCTGCTGTCTGAGGCTATCTGAGGCTCGTGCTTAAAGGAACCCCCGTGGACAGCCGGTTCTCAGCTTTTCCGCTTGCTTGCCTACCTCGCAGAGGGACAGCAAAGTGTTTTTCTCTCCGCCTGCCTGTGTCGGTGCTTCCCATTGGGGATGCTGTTGCAGTTGGCAACACGGAGCCAGAGCTCACCCTGGGCATGCTGCTCCAGTTTTTGGACTTGCTGCTGCAAGCCTGCCAGCAATGGGTGGAGGCTGCCTTGCACCACCTGGTGAACATCAGCCCCCTGCCTCTCCCCCTGGCCTCTCCGGAGGTTGTGGAGGAGCGGCAGCCGTGCCCGGACGCCAGCGTGCCCTGCCGCATCTGGCGTCTGGACACCAGAAGCAACTGGTGGGACCGCATCGTCCTGGAGCACTGGGGACACAGACAGTGGACCCAGAACTTCAGGATGAAGAAGGACACCTTCCTGGAGCTCTGTGAGTGGCTCGCCCGTGCTCTGCAGTGACGGGACACTCGCATGAGGCCCGCCATCCCCCTACAGAAGCATGTGGCAATCGCTCTGTGGAAGCTCTCCATGCCGGACAGCTGTTGGGAACCAGTTTAGCGCGAGGAGATCCACTGTCGGAGCAGTGCTCATGCAGGTACGGCACCCACTGGCCACTGTGCCTGGGGGGACGGGGACTGCAAGGAGGGGAAAACGGATGGGGGAGGAGGCAAAAGTGCCCTGCACTGGAGGGTTCAGTCTGTCCCGGCCGTACTACACGCTGCCCGTGGGGGTTGCTTCTGGGAGTGGGGTGCAGGGCAGTGCCAGGGAACGAACACTCCCAGCCACCTGGGAGCCCCAGTGATTTGCGGTTTGCTATGTGGTCAAGGCCATCAACCGGGTGCTGCTCCACAGGGTGGTCGCCACCAGGGCAAGCTGAGAAGGCCTAGCCTCCAACTAGTTCGAATTAAATGGCTACACAGCCCTTAATTCGAACTACTTAATTTGAACTAGGTGTTAGTCCTCGTAGAATGAGGTTTACCTAGTTCGAATTAAGCGCTCCGCTAGTTTGAATTAAGTTCGAACTAGCGGTTTGCATGTGTAGCGCCTATGAAAGTTAATTCAAACTAACTTTGTAGTGTAGACCTATCCTATATGAGGGAACAACACAGCCTTAAAATTGTGTAGAGCTGTGTGAATAACTGATTTTTCAGGTCTCTAATCATGCCAAAAAAATCAAAACAAAAATTCATTTCAGTTGACTAAAAAACTTTTTTGGGTGGGAATTTTTCAATGAACAACTAAAAAAGTTTACATTTTTAAACAGAAATTGACAAATTCTACATCAATTTGTAAAATCTGTTAGTCAATCTATGTTTTTGGTATAAAGAGGTTTTGATGGGAAATTTTTGTTCACCTCTTGTTAGTTTCTTTTTTCTGCTCTTTCTAATTAAATATTAAAATACCATCTATCAAGCTGTTTCAGTTTTCCCATTATTGTTTCTCTTTCACTCATCCTTTCTTAAGAAGCTTTGCTTAATTTACCAAGAAATTACTCTGTATTAGTATCCATACTAATATTAATATTAGCATGGATATTAATATTCAACTTTGCAAGTACTATGCCTGTTGTACCAGCTTGCTTTGTTTCACTCAACTTTGTCCACTGCAAACCTTTGTTTTCTGGGCTACATCCTGGGACATGCTAAGAATTTAATTTTACTTATATCAGAGGCAATGCTCAACCATTGGGGGCTTTAAGCAGGAATATTTTTCCCCCTCTAACTCATATTAAAAATAAATAGGGGCCCTCTTGAGCTGCTCAGGGCCCTAAGCAATTGTTTAGTGTTCTTATACCTAGTACTGGATCTGATTTACATTTATGCTCACTTTTATTATTTAATAATATATTTCATGGATTTATTTATATTTACACATCATGATAAAATGGCTATCGAAAGGTCTAGACATATGATGTAGCCATCTTGAAAGGAAAAGCTTGGGAGCATCTGAACATTTAAATAAGATGTTAAATAGGCAATAAAATCATTATTGGTTACTAATAAGTAGAAATAAAAATATGTGTATTACAATTACAAAAGTACGTGTACTGCACATAACCTAAGGACTCAGTCTGGCAAGATGCTGAACTATCTAGCTTTCATCCTTTGAAGCACTTAAGTATGTACAGAATTTTAACTGTGACCTGGTCTATACTAGACAGTCTGAAAGGTCTTGTTCTATGTAAATAAAAGGAAAATGCTCTGTGTATATCAAGGGTATGCATTTGTGCTTTGAAGATATTAGCATGGGGCTTGGGGAAGAATACTGGTAAATGAATCATCTGGTTAATGTGAAAAGACGAGCGGACTTTGGGAAGGAAGCTGGGTTGGGTGTGCAGGGACACCTTATCTTTGAAGAAAATGGTGTATGGGTGTATGGGACAAATCAGGTGTCCATTTCCCCTACCCGATGTGCAGATGTTATTGCTACTAGGAATGCTGTTTTCAGGGACAGGTGGAAAAGTGAGCATGTAGCCATGGGTTCAAATGGTGGTTGTGTGAGGGTGTTTAGCACTGAATGTAAGTCCCATGGCTTATGTGAAATGGTTACATCTAGATATAATGCTTGTAGGTCTTTCAGAAATAGTTCCATTATTGGATGTGCGAAGACTGTAATATCATCAGTCCTCGTATGGAAAGTTGCGATAGCTGCCAAATGTATCTTGATTGAGCTCATAGAGAGATGCGACTGTTTGAGGTGCACTAAGTAATCCAGGATGACTGGTAATGAATGGGGCTGTCTCTGCACTTATGTTGCAGGGAGTATCCCAATGAATGAAGTGAGACAATTTATGCATGTATGTTTTTCGAGTTGAGGGAGCTCTACTGTGCAAAAGGATGTTTTGTATCTGAATTGAGCACTGTTGGTCTATCCCTGGGAATCATCTAGGTACCAGGCTTTCAGGTGCAGGATTAAAAACTGTGGCTGTGGAGCCTGGATCCCTGGTTGGAAAAGTATCCTTGGGTTACATGGAAGCATGATTGGGGGACACAGAGTCATTTTGTTCAGGAAAGGAAATCACGGTTGTCGGGTCCAACAAGGGGCTATGAGGATTATCTTCACCTTGTCCCTCCTTATTTTGAGAATTGTTCTGTTGAGAAGTGGAATTGGAGAGAAGGCATATAGTAGGTGATGATTCCACTTGAGAATGAGAGCATCTCTGAGGGAGACTGCCCATGCTGGGTCTAGAGCAGTGTTTCTTAAACTGTCTAGGAGTCAGAATTCAAAAAATGGCTGCCCTTTAAGGTGCCGGCGACCATTCTTGTTTTGTTTTTTCTGCTCAGTAACTTGCCCCGACCGTTCCCCTCCCATGCCAACCTTTTTTTCCTGGTATTCCTCATAAATTTTTTTTTTAAAATCATTGTTCGGTGTTCCTCAGTCTTAAAAAGTTTAAGAAACACTGGTCTAGAGCAATACAGGGGGCACTTTTGTTTGCCTTTGTGGCAAAAATATCTATCCAGGGGTATCCCCACTGTTTGAAAATTGTGGTGAGGACTCTGTGAATGATCTGCCACTTGTGGGCCTGAGATAGAGTTCTGTTTAGTGCATCAGCAGTGTTTAGGGAATCAGGAAGGTGACATGTGCTTATGGAGACAGCATGGGTGAGGCACCAGTTATGCAGGGCAATAGCCTCTGTACTTAAGGCATGGGACCAGGCTCTACTTTGTCTGTTTACATAAAACATGCAGGCAATGTTGTTGGTATATATTCTGATGTTTTCTGGCTATTTAAGGTAGAAAATGTTGGCAGGCGAGTTGAACAGCTCTAAGTTCAAGGATGTTGATGCATAGGGCACATTCTGTTTGGGTCTACAGTCTCTGGGCACTGGAGTCTTTCATATGTGTCCCCTACCCAGTAAGGGTATGTCTACACTACAGCACTAATTCGAACTAACTTAGTTCGAATTAGTTAATTCGAACTAAGCTAATTCGAACTAACGCATCTAGAATTAAAAACTAGTTCGAATTAGCGTTTTGCTAATTCGAACTAGCGCATCCACATTAAGTGGACCCTGAAGCGGGGTTAAGGATGGCCGGAAGCAGTGCCGGCAGGGCATCAGAGGAGGACTTAGAGCGTGGAGATGCTGTCTCAGGCTAGCCGAGGGCTGTGCTTAAAGGGTCCCGACCCCCACCCCGGACAGACAGTTCTCAGGGGTTCCCCGCTTGCAAAGCAGTCCTGGCTTGGATTGCCCGGAGTACCCACACTGGGCACATCACA